TACAACCTCGAGATGGTTACACTGTTATTCACTGCCATATATTTTTTTCTACAAATTTTCTGCAATACTAACCCGGAGAAGGACGGCAGGCAGTGTCGTGATCTTTTGACACTGCACCTGCAGGCAATGAGTCCTCTGTGCAGTTCCCAGGGTCAGACACCTCCTGGGAGTCATCCTGGAAACTCAAATACTGTGTTTTTTGTTTATTATCAGAACAACGTGGCACTTTATTTGTTTATTTTTACGTAGTTTTGGCTTCCAGCTCATGAAACCCACGAAAACAAGAATTAAAAAAATTTGAATACTGTGAAGAAATCAGCCCGCACTACTTCACAGTTTTTGCAGGAAAAAAGAAAGAAATTAGGATCACAACAAACGAATCAAAATGTGGTACTTTCAAAACGATACGTCAATCTTCAATACTTGGTTGTGAATCCCTTTGCCTTAATCACTGCCTCGATGCGACGTGGCATTGAGGCTGTATTGAGTACTGTATGTGCAGATGTCTGTTTTGTGCAACACAGATTATAAAATGTTGAATGTTGTCTCTTTTTCTGTTTGCTCGCACAGCATCAGCATCTCATCCGAAGCCTAACCTGACTGATGGGTTTCCAATAAGAGACGATGAAGATCTCGTTTTGATCGGGCTGTCTGTCTGCTGGGGATCAAGAGGTGCATGCTACATCTGTCTGCAGCAGGAGCAGAGCAAAGGTACTGACAAACAACGGATACTAATACATGTAGGGTCACACTTTTCAAAGGGTTTCTGTTGTTAAAGTTGTCTGGTACCCATCAGGTCTGAGCTCCAGCCTGGCTCCTCCTCCACTGGATGATGAGCTGCCAGTAAGTCAAAGGCTGGAGCAGGTGAAGGTCTGTCTCAGCCACCAATCAGCTGGTGACAAAGGAAGAGTGGTTGTCACATATGACATCATCAAGGTGTACAAGACGTTCTGAGCTGTGGTATCAGCTTGGAGGGAACCTGTGAAGACCTGAAGGTGAGAAAACAAAGAATTAGATTACATGTGCACTCCATCCTTCCATCTAATACTTATAGAAGGTAATCCTTTATATATTTCTTACAGCTTTAGATATATTCAGCAACTTTCTTTTAAATTAGAAAATTTATTCAAAGAAATAATGGACTAAAATTTAGTTTTTGCCAGCAGCGTGATGACCAACAAGAAACTCCATAAAATAGTTGTCTTCATGGGAATGTCTTCAATAGCTTCCTATCACCTGTAGAAAAATAAGGTTGTGAGCACCTAAGGATCCTACAAGAAATTAATAAAATCCAAAGGTTTTCTTGAAACAGAGGGAGCTGAAAGTTGAAATTTACAAAATGTTGGTTAAAAAAATGAAGCTCAGATCAGAACTACAGTTTGAAACTGGACATTATAGACAGAGTTGTTTGAGCAAAGTAACCGCAGACATGTTTACTGCAGACAGACAATAAAGTTAAATAGAAGAACTTTACAGCAATAAAGCATGGTGGTAGAAGTGTTATGGTCTGCAGTGATTTGCTGTCTTTCAGACGGGGCTGCTTCCACTGAATTCTGCATCATATGCAATAACTTTAAAAAGAAGAAATACTAAGTTACCAAAAATACATAAATCAAAGCCCAGATTAAACAAACTTGTCCTGTGGAGATTTAAAATAAACACTGAAGGGTCTTATTGTTTACTAAACAATGTTATAAACTTGTTGACAGGTATTTTTGTTCATTAAATAAGTGAAAAACTACTTTTCTAGCTTATTGTGTTTAAATATTTATCATTCATCTGTGGGTAGTTACTGTTCAGAGGATCAAATGTTTGAATGTTCAAAAAAATATTTAAGAATAGTGAACTTTTGTGAGATGTGCTTAATTTTAATAAGACTACATAATCATTAGATAAAATAAATAATTATGGGGATTATATTAGATTCCACGATACTTTAACATCTTGACATTCACACTCTGAAACATGTACAGTATTTCCTCTGCAGTGCTCTCAATGATCAGTACTTTCTGCATTTTGAATCAATTTGATCATCTTTAGCTACAAGCCATAGGATGAAGGCATCAGAGAAAAACGTGACTGATTTCTTCCACAGGTTGCATGCTGGCTGCTGGACCCTAGCAGTGAGGAGAGGACACTTCCAAACATGGTGACTGTCTATTGTCCTGAAGAGTTACCCCTGCTGGACGGTCTGGGGAGTACCCTTTCACACTGTCCTCGCATCAGGGCAGCGACCAAGAGTGTGTTCATACACACTGTGATGAACCAACTCACTGGCCTGTTGGAGAAAGATGGCACACTAGGTATAATAATAATAATATTAATAATAATAATAATAATAATACATTTTGTTTGAAGGCGCCTTTCAAATCACTCAAGGTCACCGAACAAGAAATACAAAGATAAAAACAATAAAAGACAGATATTCATAAAATCAAACACAATTAATGGTAGAAAACATAATGACATTAAACAGAATAAGCAAGTTTGAAAAAAGTGAGTTTTAAGGTTAGATTTTAATAAGGGCAGAGAATCTGAATCCAGCCATCCATCCATTTTCTTCCGCTTATCTGGGTTCGGGTCGTGGGGTAGCAGCTTAAATAGGGAGGCTCAGACTTCCCTCTCCCCAGCCACTTGGGCCAGCTCTTCCGGGGGATTCCCGAGGCGTTCCTAGGCCAGCCGAGAAACATAGTCCCTCCAGCATGTCCTTGGTCTTCCTCTGGGTCTCCTCTCGGTGGGACTTGTCCAGAACACCTCACCAGGGAGGCATGCAGGAGACATCCTAACCAGCCACCTCAACTGGCTCCTCCTGACGTGGAGAAGCAGCGGCTCTACTCTTGAGTCCCTCCTGGATGACCGAGCTTCTCACCTTATCTCTAAGGGAGAGCCCAGACACCCTGCGGAGAAAACTCATTTCGGCCACTTGTATCCTAGATCTCGTTTTTTTGGTCACAACCCAAAGCTCATGACCATAGATGAGGGTAAGAATCTAGATTGATTGGTAAATTGATATCTTCGCCTTTTGACTCAGCTGTCTCTTCACCACGACAGACTTGTACAGCGCCCGCTTCACTGCAGACACTGCACCTATCCGCCTATCGATCTCTCGCTCCATTTTTCGCTCATTCGTGAACAAGACCCCAAGATACTTGAACTCCTCCACTTGGGGCAGGACCTCCTCCCCGACCCGGAGAGGGCACTCTACCCTTTTCCGGCTCAAGACCATGGCCTCGGATTTGGAGGATCTGATCTTCATCCCAGCTGCGTCACACTCGGCTGCGAACCGCTCCAGCGAAAGCTGTAGATCACAACTTGATGAAGCCATTAGGATCACATCATCTGCACAAAGCAGAGACACGATCCTAAGGCCACCAAAACGGATACCCTAAACACCTTGGCTGTACCTAGAAATGCTGTCCATAAAAGTTATGAACAGAATCGGAGACAAAGGGTAACCTTGGCAGAGTCCAACTCTCACCAGGAACGAGCCCGATTTACTGCCGGGAATGTGGACCAAGCTCTGACACCGGTCATATAGGGACCTAACAGCCAGTATCAAAGGGCCTGGTACCCCATACTCCCGGAGTACCTCCCACAGGGTTCCCCGAGGGACGCGGTGGAACGCCTTCTCCAAGTCCACAAAGCACATATAGACTGGTTGGGCAAACTCCCACGCACACTCCAGGACCCTGCTGAGGGTGTAGAGCTGGTCCATTGTTCTACGACCAGGATGAAAACCGCACTGCTCCTCGTGAATCCGAGGTTCAACTATCCAACTGACCCTCCTCTCCAGAACTCCCGAATAGACCTTACCGGGGGGCTTAAGAGCGTGATCCCCCTGTAGTTGGAACACACTAAACGGTCCCCCTTTTTGAATAGAGGGACCACCACCCCGGTCTGCCAATCCAGAGGAACTTCCCCCGATGTCCACACAATAATGCAGAGTCGTGTAAGCCAACACAATCTTACAATATCCAGAGCTTTAAGGAACTCCAGGCGACTCTCAACCACCCCTGGGGCCCTGCCACCAAGGAGCTTTTTATCCACCTCGGTGACCTCAGCACCAGAGATTGGCGAGTCTGACCCAAAGTCCCCAGGCTCTGCTTCCTCAGTGGAAGACGTGCCGGTGGGATTGAAGAGGTCTTCAAAGTACTCTGCCCACCGACCCACGACATCCCGAGTTGAGGTCAGCAGCACACCACCTCTACTATAAACAGTGTTGGTGGTGTACCACTTTCCCCCCCGAGATGCCAGATGTGGACCAGAATCACCTCGAAGCCGTGCGGAAGTCATTCTCCATGACCTCTCCGAACTCCTCCCATGCCTGAGTTTTTGCCTCAGCAACCACCTGAGCCGCATGTTGTTTGAACTGCCGGTACCCATCAGCGACTTCCGGGGTCCCACAGGCCAAAAAGGCCCGATAGGACTCCTTCTTCAGCCTGACAGCCTCCCTCACCGCCGGTGTCCACTACCTGGTTCGAGGGTTGCCACCGCGACAGGCACAGACAACCTTGCAGCCGCAGCTCCGGTAAGCCGCCTCGACAATAGAGGCACGGAACATGGCCCACTCGGATTCGATGTCCCCTACCTCCCCCGGAACATGTTCAAAGTTCTCCCAGAGGTGGGAGTTAAATCTCCGTCTCACAGGAGACTGCCAGACATTTCCAGCAAACCCTCACAATACGTTTGGGCCTGCCAGGTTTGACGGACATCCTCCCCAACCATCGGAGCCAACTCACCACCAGGTAGTGGTCAGTGGACAGCTCCACCCCTCTCTTCACCCGAGTGTCCAAGACATGTGGCCGCAGATCAGATGAGACGATAAAGTCGATCATTGAACTGCGGCTTAGGGTGTCCTGGTGCCGAGAGCACATATGGACACCCTTATGCTTGAACATGGTGTTTGTTATGGACAATCCATGACAAGCACAGAAGTCCAATAACAGAACACCACTCGGGTTCAGATCAGGGGGGCCATTCCTCCCAACCACACCCCTCCAGGTCTCACTGTCATTGCCCACGTGATCATTGAAGTCCCCCAGCAGAACAAGGGAGAATCTGAATTACAACCGTATATAACCAGTCTCTCTACAGCTCTGCTGAGAACTAGATGCTGCCGAGTGAGAAAGGGGAATTTGATATATACTCTGTCTGTCTGTTGGTCTGTCCGTCCAACCACATTTCCTTTTTTCCTTTTTGGTGAGTGGTTGCATCTAGGAGTAAGGAAGTTTCGTTTAAAATATTGGGTTGACACATTAAAATCCAAGATGGCCACTGCCATATATTTATGTATACCAGCCACCCCTATCATTTAAAGAAACTATCCTTTCTATTTTTTATATTGATTGAAAGCAGTTTCCTCAAATGACTGGGGTGGACAAAGATTTATCTATGGCAGCCAAGGCCACCATTGGCCACCCCCTGGCTCTGCCACTGCACCTTGTGGTGGATAAAATTGCTTCCTCCACTTGCCAGGATTGATGCTCACTGCCTCAGACAAGAAAGAAAACTCCCTCTGTTCTTCTCCATGGTGTAACGCCTGCCCACTTGAATATCTCACTCCAAAAACATTAAAGTTTACTTACATCCCCTGCTCACTTCCAGTCCAGAAAAACACTCATCTCAAAAACTACAAACATTCACTGTTCAAATCCTTCAATGTACTGTACTGCTTGTGGACTGTTTTTGGAGTATTGAATGTTTCTGTCAGATTTATTGAGGAATATAGAGATGCCCTCCCAGGTTTGTCTGGCCCTGTTGGAGCTGAAATGAGTTGGTTTCAGTGTGGACGAGTGCGAGAGACAAAAACGTGATGCAAGCCAAACTTTCAGCGTTGGAGTCAGAAACTTACAGCCTGGCAGGACACACCTTCTCCCTCACCAGCGTCGATGACGTAGTGCAGGTCAGACGCTGTTTTTCTGTGCCGCAGTCATGTTTTTGTCTTGACTGTAATTCCATCAGGGTATGATAATAACTCATTTTGATTCATGCTCACACTGTAGGTGTTGTTCTTGGAGCTTCATTTACCTCCTCATGGTGATGCAGGTGGACCAAGGAGTAAGAAGACTCTGAGTTACACCAGGAGAGGTGGAGGCAGAGCACGCCTTGGGAAGCACTTCAGCACCACCAAGGTGTGACCAAACAACCTTTATACTAAATTGTTCTTTCTTCTTGCAAAACTTATAACGTTTTATAATTCAGAAAGGAAAGTTTATTCATACAGCATAATTATTGCACACCACCTCACTGGATGTACGTCTACAACTGAATAACTTTTGTAGTCAACCAAATTCAAAATGGCCTCTAGCAAACACAAAAATGGCTGTAAATCAGTAAATTGTACAGATATTAAGCTAAAATATGATGTTGTTATAGCTGAGAGTCAACCCCATCACGCAATTTGACATAAAAACGTGCAAAATCTTTGCTTAACACTTGGTCGTGCAAGGAGCAGGCGGTATGCATTTCTTCAAAGAATGCTTGTTTATTCAGGTGAGTCATAGTCCAATATGTAAAACTAGAATATAAAAGTATAAAAGTAAGTAGGTTGAATGAATGATTGAATCTGTGATGATTTAGATTATATGCATTATATTAGCAGTGCATAGAGAAGATGTTTCATAGTGTTTTGAGTATCTCACAACTTCAAAGTAAAAATCTCAGCAACTTCTAAGATCTGAGAGGTTTATGTTCCACCTCAGGATGTTCTGGAGAAACTCCGCCCCCTGCACCCTTTGCCAGGTGTGATTCTAGAGTGGAGGCAGATCACTAACGCCCTGACTAAGGTGGTCTTCCCCTGCAGAGGGTGAAACGGCATCATCCTACACTGAAGATGGACAGAATATATCCAGTCACCCAGACCCACACAACCACCGGTAAAACACACAAAAAGATCTCGGACTGTGTAGATGTTTTGTGAAATGCTGTTTTTTTGAAGTACATAAACAAGAATGGATGTAGCCCATTATGTCCTGTTTTTTTATATTTTCAGGTAGAGTGAGCTTTACTGAACCAAACATACAGAATGTCCCCAAAGATTTTGAGGTTTACATGCCCACAGTGATAAGTGAAAGCCCACCTTCACAAAATGCCTTCCAGGTGACTCGTAAATCAAGGTAGGTACCTGTCAGTACAAATATTTCTGCTTTTAAAGACTTTTTTGTTTTTTTACTTTTTATTTTTCATTTTTAAAACATATTTGGGCATATAACAGAAAGGTAAACAAACAAATAAGTAGAAAAGAATAAAGAAAACCTAGAAACAAGTATACCTGAGGGAGTTTCACAGGTACATATAATTTCTTACAAAACCTTGTCGTCTGTCACAGAGTGTGAACAATCGTTCCATTTTTTCCAGTATTTTTCCCCCCTGTGCTGTTGTACACGGAGAGAATAAGTCATAAGTTCCATTGATCTTATCTGCTCGATAATTTGTATCGCTAGAGTTGTTGTGGGAGTTTCTCTTCTGAGCCAGCACTTTGTGATGGCTTTCTTCGCAGCATCAAGGATAATCCTGAATATATACAAGTCACTTTGGTGTAGTCCCCTGGGCGGTACACTAAGAAACAGTGTAGGGAAAGACAGATCCACTGTAATATCTAACACAGAGTAGATTAAGTTATTCACCTTTAACCAAAAGTCAGTTCTACCTGGACATGACCAGAATATATGAGCATGATCTGCCTGAATAGATCCACACTCCCTCCAGCAGGAGGGCTGCACAGCCGTTATCTTTGATTTCTGTACAGGTGTAATAAAGAAACGGATCAAGCTTTGCCAACAGAAATCTTTCCAAATGAGTGAGTTAGTAGTGCAGTTTTCTGATATTTCTGTTTTTAGATCTTTATCCCATTGTTTTTTCACATGAAGGTGAGTTTTATTATCAGTTGAGATTAAGATTTTGTAAAATTTTCCTACCATTTTTTTTTTTGTACTACCACTGTTGTAAGTATCCACAAAGATCTGAACTAGGTTAGAGGGGTTTTCAGTCAGTGCATTCTGTATTTCCTTCACAAAGTAGTGACGGAGCTGGAGATATCTAAAAAAAATCATTTTTCCTAGACCAAAACTGAGTGCGAGGTTTTGAAAACTATCCATCTGGCATTTAGAAGTAATATTGCTGATTGTTGTTATGCCCAGTTGCAACCACTGTTTAAATCTATGATCATGAACTGCTGGTTGAAAGTGTGGGACGCACACTGGCCAGCCCAGGATCCCAGTTTGTCTATGAAGCTGAAACATCTCTACGATTTGTAACCATATTCTGATGGATGTCCATAAACAGAAGTTCCCATGCTGAAGAAGTGATTTTGCACAGTGTACACAACCCAGTACTGAGTGCAGTGGCAGTTCAGTAAGAGAGTGCTCTAGTCCTTTCCATTTAGCCTCATAGGATTCATCACACCAAAGAGCAAGCGGTCTTAATAGAGCTGCGAAGTAATAATATCTGAGACATGGCAAAGCCAAGCCACCCCTGTCCTTTGGCAACTGAAGGATTGTATATTTTATTTGTGTTTTTTTTTAGTTCCACTCAAACGTGGATATGCATTTGTCCCATTCCCTGAATTGACTTGGGGGAATCTCCACAGGTAGTGCATTAAAAAGATATAATAATTTAGGTAAAATGACCATTTAATTGACATGAGTCTTTCACCTATGTCCAAGGGGAGCGAGCCCCATCTGTCTAGTTCCCTGTTAATTTCCTTTGTAATATTTTCATAGTTGCTAACAAAAAGACAAGAGAGGTCCCTTGGTATACACCCCCCCAGGTATTGAATACATGTTGAGTTCCAGTTTAAATCATATTGTCTGGATAAGTTTTGAGTGGGGGTAAAATTGAAAGAAAGAACTTGAGTTTTATTAACATTAAGAAAGTATCCAGAAAGAGATCCAAATAATTTGAGGGCATTCATAAGTAGAGGTACACTAGAACCTGGCTTCAAAAGGCTTACCAAGACTAGGGCATTAACAGAGTACTTGAGTAATCTACACATCGATTGCTAGGACATCTATCGATGTTAAAAATGTAAAGTCGGGTATCTGTAGTGACGTCATATTATGTGACCACGTATGACCGTAGGGGGCGGTGTTGCACTGTTGCGGGTCACAGAGTATGGTGTATCACCGGGTCCTATCCACCGAACCAGAACCAGTTTCGGTTTAAGTTTCGTTTTTGATGTGCTACATTTCTTCACGTTTGCAGTTTAATAATAATAACTAATGGTTTAGTTTTTCCTGTGACTTATTTGCAGTATGATAAATGGTAGGAGCATAATATACGCTCCCAATGTTTTGTTGGTCTTTTTTTTTTGTAAATAATTACCGTTTTTTGCGGTTTTACTCATTTATTTATTTTTGTATCTTGAGATCTATGACGTCATCAAATACTCGAGTTCTACTCGGGTTTTATTATGTTAATGTCAAGTTTAAAAATTGTATACTCGTTCAACCCCTAACCAAGACATCATCTGCATATAAACAAATTTTGTAATCCGTGCCATTTATTTTTATACCTTTAAGTTCTTCTTCTTGTCTGATCATCTGCGCTAAGGGTTCGATAAACAAGTTAAAAAGGAATGGACTAAGTGGACATCCTTGGCGGCAGCCTCTTTGAAGTTTTATTGGGTTAGAAAGACCACCATTTATTTTTATCATCGCAGTTGGAGCAGAATATAGTGCCTTAATGGACTGTATAAACTGTTCTGAGAAGCCAAATTTGCCCATTGTTTGGTAAAGAAATTGCCAGCTAACTGAGTCAAAAGCCTTCTCTGCGTCTAAGCTGAGAAGGACTGACTAGAATTTGTCTCTGTGATTCCATCTATAATGTGGATGGTTCTACGTATATTGTCATGTGCTTGACGGTCCTTAATAGAACCTGTTTGGTCTTCATCTGTAAGAAAAGACATGGCCTCTTCCATTCGTCTAGCTCGAATTAAAGCAAAGAGCTTGTAGTCGACACTGAGAACACTAATAGGTCTATAAGACCTACAGTCTAATTTATGTGAACATCCGTAATGTGGGGGGGACACAATGATGTGTGTAGGTGTGTGCGCGCACGCGCGTGTGTGTGCGCGCAAAGAAGTGTTCACTACTGAACAAAAAAGCAGCATTTCACCTATATTTCCTTTAATTCCACACATTTAAAGCATGTTTCTCATCAAGTTTGTGTAAATTCAGCTGTGGGTTTTAAAGACATTTTAACTTTAATACACTTTAATACAGAGCGTCAGATCAGCTCTATTTGTCTTTATAGAGAAATAATAAA